AGGGAGGGAGGGAGGGAGGGAGAGGGAGAGGGAGAGAGAGAGAGTGAGTCAGAATGTATAACACCCATTGCTACAAAGATATAGCCAGCACGTATTGTTCCATCTCTAAAGCAGCTGCTTCGGTTCTGAACTGGGCTTTAAAATCTGTGCACGTCCCCATCTGTGCTTTAATAAGAACCAGTCAGATTATGTCCGCACTTTAATAAAGGACTGCAAGATAGCATCTCCTTTTCGGCTGGCAGGATCACTTGGCGGAGTTCAGGCTGCAGGGGGGTGCAATGGAAGGAAGAGAGGGAGACGGAATGATGCCAGCTTAACCCCTTAAATCCATGGGATCCTGGAAACCTACAAAACCCTAAACACTTGATATGTTGGAAGGCATTTTCTACATGTAATATCCAGGGCTTCAATTTTCTCCCCACCTGAGAAGCAGGTTATCAGATGTTTCCATGCATGCACACTCACAATAATTGACAGAAATTCACAAGAGCTGCTTGGAGAGAATTATAACTGCAACCGGGATCAGAATTTCCGTGCCTAAACAAGACTGTAATCGAGTGAGTTGCACCTGATTTTACAACCTTTTTCGCCATGTTCGTTAAGCAAATCACTGCCGTTGTTAAGTGATTTGTGTTGTTAAGTGAATCTGGCTTCCCTCATTGACTTTGCTTGTCAGAAGCTGGCTGGGAAGGTCGTAAATTGACTGCAATTGTTGTAGATACAGGCTTAAATTATGATTGTGACAGTGTGGGGATGCTATGATGGTCGTAAATGTGAGGATCAACCGTAAGTCACTTTTTTCAGTGCCGTTGTAACTTTGCATGGTTGCTAAGTGAATGGTTGTAACATGAGGGCTATCTGGTTATAAAACACAAGTTGTTATCCAAGGACGATGCAGACTTAAGCTACACGAGAGTCGGCGACCTTAATTTAGGAGGCAAAAATAAAAAGCTCCCATACATTAGTCAATTTTAGCCTAATAAGCTGTCTGAATCTGGTTTCTGTGGATCATTTTGGACACAATGAATCGCATAAGTCCAGAAGATTAAGATGATGGATAAATGTAGTAAATGAACTATGAGTTAATTTGCTAGAGGTTCACTTGTGCATAGCACATTATGTATACAAAGTCTAAACTACAATTCACAGAAGCCCTTATCTTCCTTTTCATTAATTCTGCAATATTTAGCTATTAGAGGACCACTGAAATAGAAAAGAGGATTAATAGTATAAGTGGGGGAACAAAAATGAAAAGAAAGAATGATGAAAGTTATAGGGTTGCTGATGCAATTGTTTATCTCCAAGGAACTTTATTTCCTCCCCCCGCTGCCCCCCCCCTATTGACAGGGTTTATAATCCCACTTAAATTATGAATGCCTGAAAGCATCTGGCAACTGTTATTGGACTGGCAGATTAGCCCAGCCTCCCAATTGGTTCTGACCCAGCAAAGCAATTAATATTGTAATGCACTGTGTTGACATAGGAAGCAGAAAGCTTTAAAATAGGGGCAAGTCTCAAGGTAAGGATATGTGGCCTTCTCCAACTCTGCTGCCCCCAGTTGTGTTTTAGGACAGTAACTGTCAGCCATAGAGTCATTGAGGCTTCTAATTGGGAACTCTGATAGTTGAGATCCCTACGTGCTGAAGGACATATTAGGAAGGGGAGGGCCAGGACAAGTCAAAGCAATACGCATGAACCATGTTGCCCTATCTTTAAACAATCTGGAGGAAAAGTGGAAAGAAACTTGGGAGCTACCAACATGCATATGTATGTATGTATGTATGTCGTCTGTCTGTCTGTCTGTCTGTCTGTCTGTCTGTCTGTCTGTCTGTCTGTCT